CCTCCATGCTTCTCCTACATTACATGGCTGGCCCAGATAATATTGGGGTGAAAAAAAAGTCAGGGTTATAAGGCAGGCTTGGCAGTGACCTCTGGTCTCTTAGTCCTCAGCTTCCTATTTAAAGCTGCTGCCTCTCCCTCCTTATGCATGTGATTTGAACTTATTTCACTGCTGTCATGTAGATCTGAATGATTATCATTTCACACAGTCTTAGCTACAACCAATCCAACTTTAATTGACAGAAGCAATTCCTTGAATGCCATCAAACCTGTTTATCTCATTTCCTAGCATTCCTTGTGTTGGTCTCTTTCTGAGGGTTATTTGATAAGGGGAAGACCATACAACTTCTCATCGCTTATAGTTTAATCCAGTCACTTAAGCTACACATCTTAGTGTACAGTTGGCCCTCCTTATCCCCAGACTTGCCATCTGCAATTCCAGCATCTGTGGACAGCAAGTTCCGGGTTGTCCTGAATGGCGGTGCATACACACAGCTGTGCTGCCATTAGGGACAGCCCCAGCAGACCCTCTGTCCTTGGGGGCTGTGAAAATTGGCAAGGGGTGCCCCATTCCCATGGTGTCATCTGTTTGTTGCCAGCCCAGGAGGTGGTTTAGGGGTGGTGGGTGGCAGTGGTGGCAGCATGACTGGCACTGCTGGTGCAAGATTCCAGGCTCAGCTTTGCCTGGGAGGGCACCAATGCCAACACCATCTTCACCCCTCCTCCTCCTTGGTGGGTCCAAGGATGTCCACACAGGGTGACCATGCAGGATCCCTGGGGTCTGGGCTCCCACATGAGACTCCTTGGGGTGAGCCAGGCTCCTTCCCCATGGTGGCCAGGCTCCTTGTGAAAGGACAAAGGATGGAGGAAGAGTGTGGGGCCAACCCAGCAGGATTCCTGGAAGAGAGAAGGGGGAGCGGGGTCACTTCAGTGCCCCTCTGAACAAATCTCACCAAGAAAATCCTATGATAGGGTTGCTTTAGTGTTGTCATATCTCAGAAATTACTTGGAGGCACACAATATCATCCACCACAAGGAAGAGTCATTGTCTCCACTTTCTGCTTGTCAGCATATCAGAAGCTTCTTATTTACCAACATGAAACAAGAGGCTGGAGTAAATGGGTCCATTAATTTGAGCCAGTAGAGTTCTCCTTTTGTTCTTAGCTTTTAAACAGAAGTTTGCAACTCAGACTCCCTTTGGTGAGTTTAAAGACCTTGTAATCTTTAAGAGGTTAATGTTGTGTCCAAATCAATTTTCTTCCTTCATTGGCATTTTGGAACATTAAGAAAACATTTTTCTAGGGTGACATTAATTATAGCTTGGGTCTTTGAAATTGGTTCTTATCAGTTTAGGTTTGGTTTGTTTGCATAATTATGCTTCTAAGTTAAGGATCATTCTTAACCTCTCCAAGGGCTTCCTTTCTATTCTTTGACAATATTTCCCATTTTAATGTTGGTTTTGTTTTTTGGTTATTTTCAACAGCCATGTTGTTATAGTTCTGGGAAAACAGTTAAGGACAGTGCAGTAATTATCAATATTACTACAGCACACCATTCTACACATGTGTACATATGCACACATGCACACACCTATTTGTAAAGACTATTTTGTAATCTAACTCTAGATTTCTTCTTCCAATGCTTGCTTTTCAGTATGCCAAATACTTGCCTTTTACACACGGCTCATCTGTAAGTTTTGATTCTGGTTTAGCATCATGATCTCCCACTATCAGGCTTTTTGAGAATAGATTCTGCGCTTGTCTATAGCACAGGTCTATAATATGGCTAGGATGAAGTCTATTTGGTTCACATTTTAGTATGGATCAGTTTAATTTCAGTTCCGAAACTAATGCACAAAATTGATTCTAATTATTCCAGGTGTGGGGAAGCATGTCCTGCAGGCTGCTTTTTGCCTATCTACTAGATGACAAACTAGAATCAAAACTTACAGATGAGCCATATGTAAAAGGCAAGTATTTGGCATCCTGAGAAGCAAGTACTCAAAGAAGCAATCAAAAGTTAGATTACAAAATGATTTTTACATATAGGTGTGTGCATATGTGCATATGTACACATGTATAGAATGGTGTGTTGTAATAATATTGTTAATTGCTGCACTTTCCTTCACTGTTTCCCAGAACCATAGCAACAGGGCAAGTCCAATCAAGCTCCTCATTCGAAAGCTCCCAGACCCCACCACTCGAGAAAATAGCTGAAATGTTTGCCTGGAATTTGCTTTCATCAAACCCCCTAGAGTCACCGTCTTGGTCTGACCAACCTCCATTTCTTCTAGATTATGTCTTCTCAGGGCCCTACACGCATAGCCTCAAAATAAATAGGCTCAGAACATTCACCTATAATTTCCCAGGTCCATAACTGATCAATATACTTACTGATGATAGAAAAACACTTTTCAGAGTGGTAGAATTCAAAGACATAGCTGTATTAGTCTGGATAGTGTGCAAAGGGATCTTGTAGCTCCTGTAAGACTGAGAGAAAGAAGTTGGTAGCATAAGTTTTCATAGTCCATTTCTGCATGAAAATAGACTTCTAATCCCCATATCCTCCAACATTTCAAAGATGAAAAGTAGGACATGTATGGAGAAGCAGCATCAGAGTGTGGTAAAGATGGCAGAAATTACAAATGAGGAAGAAGGAACCCTGGTGTCACAGTGGTTAAGTGCTGCTTACAATTTAATGTTGTAAATTCAATCCTAGAGGAGGACTCCAAGGTCCACTCAGCCTTCCATCCTTTTGTAGGTCAATAAAATGAGTGCCCAGCTTGTTGGGGCCAATTGGCTTACACACTGTAAACCATTTAGGAAATGCTAGTTCACTGATATGCAGTATGGAAATGTACTTGCTATTGCTATAAGAATGCACCTAACCCTAATGAGAAGGGCAAGTTCACCCACTACTGGTGCTGAGTGTGTTTCAGCAAAAGCAGCATGTGATGGAATCAAATGGCGGCACAACTTACTCATAGACTTTGGGATTACAGAACCCAGACCAACCATTTTGATGCAAGACAATCAGAGCTGCATCAAGATTTCTCAAAGTGAAAAGCCACTCAAGAAGAATATTGATATTGCATTTCACAAAGTGAGAGAAATGTGTCAGAATGGACTTGTCTGACTGGAATACTGCAACACTGAGGTGATTATTGTGGACATCCTAACTAAACGTCTACTAAAGATCGATTCCAGAAGTTACACAAAGGACTAAGGATCTTTGATGTTGGTCCAGGAGAATGAGAAGGGGATTGATGGAATATGTTTGCATTCTCCTGTCTCTTCTAAGTTAGATAGGGATTCCTCGCTCCCCCCTCTCTCATTCTAACTATCATATGACTTTGGTCACTGACTCTTGGAGACAGTTTAATAGCTTTCCCACAATATTCTAAACTGCTAGTAACAGCAGTCAGTTGTTGTGGGTTCTTCCTGCTATCTAAAAGATGGTGAAAGTTATCTCTCTTTACCCAAGCCACCACCAGTTTTGTTATGTATATATTTATTAAAGCTATTATTATTTATTTTTAAACTATAAACTGGATGTTTGTTTGTTTTTTAGAGTAAGTCTTTATTTCTTAGGAAGGCAGATTTAGAATAAATAGTCTGACCCACACTTTTGCTGCTCTGCTGATAAAAATTGGACTCTAACAAGTTTAACTTTCATACATACATATTTTTGTTTCCCTTTGAAAGGGTTAACACCCTGGAAAACTCAAATTGCACCCCACAAAACTGAATGCAAACTACTTTTTCACTTTGAGCTCAGTTTGCAGCAATTGAAGTATGTTGAAGTCCAAGGGAGAAAACGGGGGAGGGGGGAGAGAAGCTAGGACATTTTGAAAGCAGCTGAAAAAGATGAGATGATAGAAGATTATTCAGGATGGTGGCTGCTAAATCAGGACAGTTGGAGGGTGTCAACCCCTCTGATCTCTATTTTCAGTTACAAAACTTGGCCAAATTGCTGGCATGCAACTGGAAAGATTGTCATTTCCAAATCATATGACTGGACAATGAAAGTAGTGGAAACCTGCACAGGATCTCAGGAGTAAAATATTTAACCCAGTCCCAGTTGCCATTATGCATTCTGAATTATCCTTCTGTTTTTGCACTTCACTGGATAGTTTAATGCAGGTGTATATCTATTTAAGAATGTCTGTGAAAGTGTACACTTTGCGAGGGACATGGTATACAAAAAGCATAGATAAAAGTGCTTTCAGAGCATACATTTATTAGAAAATACTGTACACATACAAAAGTTGCACTAGGAGACAGAAACTGGATGGAAGGGAGGGGAAATGTGAATATTATAGGAAGCATAACTGACATAATTGTCCATCTCAGGTCTGTCCTTTGATCTTCCTCATTCAGAAGCCGAAGCATGGCTAATGAAGTACAAGAGGAAGTCATTATCAGTAACAACCTCAGAATTAAAAACATGGTCAAAGCATATTGCTTCATAAATGGGTCTCTTCCACCCAAGGGAGCAGACGGCCTGGTGACTAATAGCATTAAAAAGCTTGTATATGTGGAGATTCTGGGATTGCTGTTTTTTTCTAATCCCAGAAGAGCAGGCTGTATCGACTCTTAAGTCTAAAACAAGGAGCGGAAAGTGTCAGAGAAATGTCTCTTAAAAAGTGCAGCCTCTGAGCCATGGGTGGCCTGCTGGGGCCATTATGCATCCTCCGAAGCCCCAAAGCCTAATTTTGACACTGTGCTATGGCTCAGTGCTATGGAATTTTGGGAATTTTAGTTTGTTCTGGCACCAGAGCTATCTGACAGAAAAGCCTAGGTGAATATATGAGGCATAGCTTAGTAATAAATGAC